TCCCCTCTCTCTCCAAGAGGCTCTTGCTAATAGTCTAGGATAGCCTCAAACTCATAATCTTTTCCTTCCCTGTGTGTGCACTCAAACACTGGCTATGTATAGGCTATAAAGATAGCCAATGTGGCTCTTTCTTCAAAGATACAGTCTGGCAGGGACCACAGAGTCATAAGAAGAAGCACTGACTAGAGACAGCCCTGGTGCTGAGTGCTAATCATGCTATTACGTATCTCACAGCAGCTCCACTGCCATCCCATTTTACATACGAGAAAACGGAGGCACAAAGAGGCTGAGTGATTCTCATACAGCCTGACTGCAGGTGTGTGGCTCTGGTCTCTACCACCTCCACTGCAGACAGACCCTGGAAGGAAGTTCACAGAGCATTTACTAGATGGAGGTATGTGTGTGTGTGAAGGGGGGAATACAGATAAAAGAGTCACCTATTATTCAACAAATCAAACTACAGAATAAATGCCACATGGAGAAGAGACCCCAAACCTCCCCAGCATCTGCTCCCTTATCTAGCACTCTGTTGGGAGAGTTCTTCCACTCTATAACATCAGCGCCTTTGCTTCTGTTCTATTCTCCAGGGAGGCGAAGCACCAGGAGAAACAGACTTCAACGCTGTGCTGTGGGATGGAGACGGAGTAGAGGTAGACTTCCATCTCAGTGAAGCAGACGCACAGTTGGGGTTGGTTACCTGCTCGGCAGCTGTTGGACAGGAGGATGAGGACAGCTGATGAGGCTCACTGGAGTTGGCTGATAGTGCCATTCATTCATGAAAATTTTGGATGAAGCTTCAGGCTTAAGGGCCAGGCGGCAGTTTTCCTTATCTGAGGTTTTGTGTTCCACAATTTCAGTTATTTATAGTACAAAAAGAAACTTCTAGAAACCAATCTCTTAAATTTTATGTTGCAAATGATTCTGAGACACATGATGAAATCTTACCCTGCTTTCTCCAGCCTGGACATGAAGCATCCTTTTGTCCAAAGTGCCCATACTGCACATGTCCCCCCTCTTCAGTCACCAAAAAGCTACCTGGGCTATCAACCAACATCAGCAGCATCAAAGCACTGTGTTTAAGCACTCCTTAATTTACCTGATTATGGCTCCAAAGTGCAAATTATGTCCCAAAAGCAGGATGCTGGCCAATCTGATAAGCCAAAGAAAAGCTGGAAAGTACTTCAGTGGGAAGATGAAAGTTCTTGCCTTGATGAGGAAATAGATAATTGTCTGTGGAGGTTGCTAAGATGCATGTTAAGAACAAACCTTCAACCACTGCAAGTGTGAAGGAGGAAAAAGAAAAGAAGGTGCTAGGTTCACCGTCACACTTGCAAACTGCATACACTATGACCACAACACACACCATTTGCTTAGTGACAAAAGGCATTGTGTGTCCACAGGGCTTATACCTGTGGTTTCACATATTCACCGAGAGTCTTGGAAGGTGTTCGCTACACTCAGTGGGACTTTTGTAGTTGGAAAATGGCTTCAAGCTATGCTAAATGAACTCTGGAATCCATCTTCTCTGACCATACCCTTCCCCCTTAGTGAGTACCTGCTGTATGCAGAATGCCAAGTGTTGAGCATCCAGAAGATAAAAACCTAGATCAGCCATCCAGGCTCTAGCCATAGTTTTCACAGTCTTTCTAGTCAGATCTGAACTGAGAAAAATGTTCAAGTCATGCATTTGTAGACATGGGAGGCAAGGCTGGGCTGTTTGACCTAACTAGATGTAACGAGTTCTGGTCTAGTCCACTCCCCTATGAGTGTACAACGGGTTATGTTGTATATTTAGAAAAACATTACTCTGAAAGACATCAGCCTGGAGAAAGGCAACCAAGACACATAATTATAAACCAATTTATAAGGACAGCCCCGGAGTATGTACAAAAGAGAGCCCTGAGGGAGATACACAGGCCAGGTCCACCCTCTCCTGAATTCTTTCTACCATATGAGACTCATGCCATGCTGCCTGTGGTGTGACTGTGGGCCCTGTCTCTCCATGCATTTCTTGTCAGGTCCCCATCCACTCTCATCGTCCATCTTCTACACCGTGGGTAGACGGTCTCTGGTCACCCCAAGTCCACCAGGAAATTATCTGAGTGCAGAGAAAGGACTGACCAGGGGCAGACCAGCATCTCCCTTCCAGCACAAGTTAGATTTTGAGAAAGTTCCCATTTGCACAACAGTAGCCATGCATGGGAAGGGTTCCCCACGAAGGCTTTAGTTCATCAGGTTCTGCCTCCTCCTTCCTTCCTTCCTTCCTTCCTTCCTTCCTTCCTTCCTTCCTTCCTTCCTTCCTTCCTTCCTTCCTTCCTTCCTTCCTTCTCTCTCT